TCGGCACTCGACTCTTTCTTTGACAAGGCCGCGACCCATCAAACAACGGCGTGCATCCATTGTGTTCGACATCTCTCTGTCGCTGTCTCGCTGTAGCCTCTAGCTGTTGCCAGGTACGTTTGGACATTTTATTGCCTCTTCGCCCACGTCATGTTCGGCGTTTCCACGTCGGCGCATGCGCATCCAGAGCCGGGATATCCTCGACAAGAACCGTTCGATCCAACCTCCTAGTCGTCCCCGTTGCCGACGGAGATGGCTCGTCATCAGCGAAGATAGTTCCTCGCGCCTGCGCAATGCCCTCGTCCGGTCTCTGCTCGGTCCCTTGACCAGCAGCTCCTCATCCTTGGTCGCGTCTGGCCTCGCCAGTGACGTTGCTACCCCTCGCCCCTCTCTCCTCCCGCGCGCTGCCTAATTTTCGCCACCCCGACCGAGTCCCACGGACCAGCCCCTCGTCCCCTACCCATGCCCGCCCACCATCCATTCACCGAAGGCTCATTGCCAATCGGCATCGTACCCTGTCGGCCAAGGCGAGATTCCCGTCCACCCGGCCGCGATCTAGGACTTCCATCTTGGAGGGACGGGCCTTGATGTCCATGTGCATGGCGACTGAAGCACTGTGGCTGGTCTCCGAGAATTGCCAATACATCTTTCTTTTGCTTTCTCGCCACGCAACACCTCTTGCTGACCTCGATCAACGCAGTAATCCAACCTCGCCTCTTCAACCCTTTGCCGTATACAAGACGATGCTATGGCAGCTGTGATCGGCGACTTCATTTCAGACCCGTCCGCTCACTTCCATAACATGCTAGCCAGCACTGGCCTGTCGCATCAGCGCAAGCCCTCGCACGAATCCTCGTACCGATCCTCGAGCTGTCCTCGCAACACGGATACCCACCGCTCCTCGCCCAGCTCCCGGCAGCGACGAGAGCCCGGCGATAACCCGAACAAGCCTGCGCCGTCAGCGTCGGGAGCGTCTCGCTTCCCGACACCCCCATCGTCGTCCTCGCCAAGCGTCGCTTCCGCCAACATTCGGGCTCAGAATGCGGAGGGCGCAGGCTTGATGGCAACGCAGGCACACGCAGCCGCTCACGTCGGCCCCTCGACCACAACCCTCACTTCACCTAGGCACCAGCAGCCGTCTCCCAGCTCCGATGCGTCACCGGCCACCACGGCCATTGGTGCATACCCCATTGACGAGGCCTCCTCCCCGCGGTCTCAGTCTCAGGGCCAGACCATCCGAGTACGCGATCTGGCGCATATCCAGAGCCTCGCTCGCGCCGACGTCTTGACGGGCAACGGGTCCGGTCTGCTCAGCGACTCCCATTCCCAGCAAGTCAAGTACGAGATCAGCGGCATGCCCATCGGCGACATCATCGAGATGGTCGCTGCGCTGCTGACCAAGATCACGACCACAAACGACTTGCAGCATGACGCCATGCAGAGGAACGTCGCGCACCAGCAGCAGGCCAACCAAAACAGCGAGGCTGGCCACGGCTCCTCAATGAGTCCTCTGAGCACCTCTGTGCTTGCTTTCCACGGAAAGAACATTCCGGCCATCACCATCCTCAGCTACCTCTCCCGTATCCACAAGTATTGTCCGACAACATTTGAGGTCTTTCTCAGCTTGCTCGTCTACTTTGATCGGATGACGGAAAGGGTAAACGACATGGTCGTTAAGAGTGAGGAGGCACGGCGCCAGGGCAACAGCCCTGAACCTCAGACGGCAAGCACCGTCTCAACGGCAAAGGACGTGGACATGGATGACGGGGAGGGTGGCGATGCCGAATCAGACTCGGATCTCGCAGACGATGACGACGACGACGACGGGATGCAGGGCCAGTCGTCAAAGAAGGATGGCGACGAAACGCCGTCTGCCGCTGGCGCGACTTCGCCCGCCATCACACCAGCCACATACTTTGTGGTGGACAGCTTCAATATCCACCGGCTTGTTATCGCCGGTGTGACCTGCGCGAGCAAGTTCTTCTCGGATGTGTTCTACACCAATTCGAGATATGCCAAGGTATGCTACAAGTCATTCGGAGGTCCTTGTTCGAGATGCTAACCCGATTGTCAGGTCGGCGGGCTGCCCCTTGCGGAGCTGAACCATCTGGAGCTCCAATTCCTCCTTCTAAACGACTTCCGACTGGCCGTGCCGGTCGAGGACCTGGAAGCGTATGCTACCATGCTTGTTGAATTTTACGCACGCGAGGTGGTCGTCCCACAATCGCGGTCTGTGCCGGCCGATGCTTAGCATACGCCCACGCTCTGATTTTTGCTACGAAGACTGATACCCTGATACACATTTGGAGAAGGCTTGGCTGAGCCGGGTCATGATTCATGGGTGGAGGCATGACGGACAGGGTACACGATGATGCGGCACTGCCTCTGGCGTGCTCTAGAGCGTTGTTTGTATGGTATGATGCCCGGGGAGGGACACGGCGTTCAGAGGTCGGCCTTGCTTCTTGCCTGCTACTTATAGATTGGGGACAACGTAATTACGGAGCCAGGTTTTGGGACAGACTTGTTCTGGGTGCCTCAGTGACATGAGATGTGTCACGGCTTCTTCTGTCAGGCCCAGCCGGTTTTTCGTGTGCAGTCAAGCATTGAGGGGTTGTCACAAATGGACATCTGTTCCCCTTGAGGTTCAGAGGACTGACGCGTACAGGCTTTGTGGGCTGTGCCCAAGTCTCATGCAAATTCAGGCAACTCTGGCAGTTTAGACACGTTGTACGCCATGCATGCTGACATGGCCGAGCCCTTGTCGTGAAAACTCTAGATAGCTTCACATAATCGATGTCACCTTGTCAAAGGTTCTATGAGTTCCACCAAGCATGTGACATCGACGCACGTGCTTGCACCACTATGTCATCTGCTCTTTTTTGCTTCTCCGGCAGAACAGCCCCCTCCTGTAAGCTTAGCACGACAACTTTAAGGATCAGGTCAACAATAGACAATCCTCAAGCTTTGTTCATCGGGTTCCTCATAAAGTCATATCTCCTACAACCTGGTAGGTGATGTCGGGTCCATTGTAACCTTGCCGGCCCACTCACTTCCCTTCGAGCGGCTAAGACCGAAGGCCAACTCTCGGAAGCCGAAACTGACGACCGAGGAGGGCCCACCCATGGCGAGGCCGGACCAATGGCAGTGGCGAGCGGGAGCGAAATACCGCAAGCAGGTTCCCAAGCGTCCCGTCGGTCGGCGAACGCCTCGGGTGCATTCTATCCACTGTTTTTTCTCCCGAGAGTTCTGTCCTCAGCATCATCCTCCCGTCGAACAGTCCTAGACGCTCTCACCTTCCGACTGACGCCCCTTGCCTTCCTTCCTCAAGACACCAAGACACAGACTGGCCAAGATGTTGACCCGGGGAACTGCGCAGGTACGTTGCAATTGATAGGAGTCGCTGCCGGTGACGTCGAGGAGAGCGCCACCAGCCGCCCGTCCGCCCGCTCGCGTGCCCGAGGATGAAGAACACCGCAGACTGACGCGCAACAGGTCCTGCGCACCGCTACTCAGCAGTCCGTGATCCCTCGCGCCGGCTACGCGACGATCCAGTCCGACATCTTCAAGCCCACTAAGTTCGGTGGCAAGTACACCGTCACCCTGATCCCCGGTGACGGTATCGGTGCCGAGGTCGCCGAGAGCGTCAAGACCATCTTCAAGGCCGACAATGTCCCCATTGAGTGGGAGCAGGTCGACGTCTCGGGCGTCGACGCCACCTCTGAGCGCACCGAGGACCTCTTCCGCGAGTCGGTCGCCTCGCTGCGCCGCAACAAGCTCGGCCTCAAGGGCATCCTGCACACCCCCATCTCGCGCTCTGGCCACCAGTCCTTCAACGTGGCCATGCGCCAGGAGCTCGACATCTACGCCTCCATCTGCCTGATCAAGAACATCCCCGGCTACAAGACACGCCACGAGAACGTCGACCTCGCCATCATCCGTGAGAACACCGAGGGCGAGTACTCTGGCCTCGAGCACCAGTCGGTCCCCGGCGTCGTCGAGTCGCTCAAGATCATCACCCGCCAGAAGTCGGAGCGCATCGCCAAGTTCGCCTTCAACTTCGCCCTGGCCAACTCCCGCAAGAAGGTCACCTGCATCCACAAGGCCAACATCATGAAGCTGGCCGACGGCCTGTTCCGCTCCACCTTCCACCAGACCGCCAAGGAGTACCCCACCCTTGAGGTCAACGACATGATTGTCGACAACGCCTCCATGCAGGCCGTCGGCCGTCCCCAGCAGTTCGACGTCCTCGTCATGCCCAACCTCTACGGTGGCATCCTGTCCAACATTGGCGCCGCCCTGGTCGGTGGCCCCGGTCTCGTCCCCGGCTGCAACATGGGCCGCGACGTCGCCGTCTTCGAGCCCGGCTGCCGTCACGTCGGTCTCGACATCAAGGGCAAGGACCAGGCCAACCCCACCGCCCTGCTCCTGTCCGGCTCCATGCTCCTGCGCCACCTTGGCCTGGACGACCACGCCAACCGCATCTCCCAGGCCGTCTACGGCGTCATTGCCGATGGGTACGTCCGCCTGAGTTTCGTCTCTGATAACCCCCCGCTAACCTCCCCGCAGCAAGACCCGCACCCGCGACATGGGCGGCGATGCCACCACCCACCAGTTCACCAAGGCCATCCTCGACAAGATGGAGACCCTGTAAATGAAGGTCCCGCGACCGCTTACCAAATGATACCTCGATCCCTTTACCTTGTGTCAACACCCTGAAAATCGACATCTCGATCACCGAAAGGCGCCGCAGACGATGGATGAATGAACACCCATCGGAAGCTCGGCATAGATACATAGACGCCGGGGGTTCACACCGAGCCGCCCGGCCGGCTTGGAGAGTGGAAGTGTTGTACACCGAGTGTGTGCCAGGAGGTGATAACCTGCAGCTGGAGATTGTACGTGCCGGCCAGTGTTGTGTACGTAGCATAGGAGTCATGCAATGCATATGAATTGTTTTCCTTTCACGCCTGTGGACGTGATTTGCGGTGGTGAAAAAGGAGATCCCATGCCGAGGGTTGAACTCGGGGCACTGGAGTTTAAGTCCATGATGTTGACCACTACACCACATGGGATCGAGAATTGGCGCTGCTGTGGGCAATATGACGGAGAGTAGGTCCTGGGAATGGCAGGAGATATTTCGGGAAGCTGCAGGCTGCAGTGGCCGCAAACAGGTGCACTTCGGATGCTGAGGGGTGCATCCAGAGTAGGAGAGAAGCGGCAGAAGATAACCTGCAGACACATGAAAGCATGGCCAGAGACTTAATAACAGCTGCTTTATCGAAATATTGGCCTCGAGCGTCGACAAGTAACAGTCTTGTGCACAACCATACATGTCTGGTAGTTGGTCTGTCGCGACTGGACTGCGGAGGAGCTTTATCCCGATAGCCGAATCCCGTCTTGGGTCTCACAAGGCTGACTGGATCTGGGATCCACCTTGCACCCACTGTGAAGAACTTCACTTTGCCACTGAGACAGTCTCATCATTGTCGTCATTGCAAGACACTGTGCATCTGGCCATGAAGTGGACCGAGTCTGTTTCTCATCGGCCAGTCGAGGCAGAGGTGCTGCGGTCCATCCATGCGTCGGACCAGGAAATGTACCCTGCGGCTCTGCCGCTTCGCCGCCTCCAGGACTGGGTAGAAGCCGCTCCATGGCTGTCTATTGAGTTTGTCGTCAACAACACGCCCATGGGCGTTGTCGTCGCGTTGCCCGTGAAAGGCGCCAGCTGGGATGGGCTTCTCAGGGGCACCCTGAAGGAAATCGACATTGAAGCGTCCCGGGATTTCGGCAAGGACGAGGTCGGCATACACATTTTCCACGTCGAGAGATATGAGACTTCCTCTACACAGGATGCTGTGCGGTTCAGGGGATTTGGGAATTATGCAGTCAGTGCTGTACTAGACGCAGCGAGAGCCAGGGGCTACAAGATCCTGGGGACGTCTGGTATGTGGTCGAGGCAACCTTGCCTGATCAAGTGAGCGGATAATTGACAAGAAGCAGCCTTGACAGCCACGGAAGATGGACATCGGGCCTTTGACAGGCTGGGGTTTCGGCCAACAGGATACGAGGAAGTTTGGGTGGATGGTGAGGCTCCGCGGAGTGGCTCGCAGGACGCAGGGCCCGACGATGGCCGGCAAGTGAGCCGGGCGCGGATGATGCGGCGGGATGAGACAGAGCGGACGTGGACGAGCTGACCAACCATCGCCGAAGTGGCCGGAGCGGCGCCGAGGCATGAAGCGGTCAATCAACAGAGTGGTCGGTGTCCCGCCGTGATGCGGCAAGCCGGGCGGTGAGGGTCGGGCCAGGCCTTGCCGTTCGTGCTGTTTCGGAGACTTTACAATGAGATACGGGGCGATCAATCGGCGGAGGAGGCTTCAGTTTGTCCGGTGCAAGCAGTGCAAGAATGAGGGAGTCGGAGCCGAGGCACAGGGAGCCATGGTGTGCTGTCCTAGACTTCTAGGGCCGCCCGGCCGAAGCCGTTGTGGACCCTGTCTGATGCAACTTTCCAAGTTGACGACGGGAAAATTCTGGGCGTCAGCACCTAATCGCATCGACGACTGTTCACTCACTGCAATGACTACGGAAACCTCCGTTGTGATGATCTCTAGAGTTCATAAAGCCTGCCTACTCTACATATTCCACACTTGACAGACGATCAACTTTGGAAGCACGACATCAGACCCAAATCTGTCCTTCCATTGCGCAATGAGGGGTCATGTTACCCCACTTGGCAGCCCTCGACTGAGTCGTTCAACCCCGATGCACTTCCTCCAAGCCGAGGCCCAAGGCATTTTGAAGGGTGAAAAAGGCTGCATCGATTGGTAATGCTCCACTCTTGACCACGTTGACCTGGAACCGGCGACGCCAGAGGCGGGCACCACTTCCCAACGCGTCCTTTTCCGCCCGGCAGAGCCTTCTAGCGCCTGTTCCATCTCCAGATTCTAGAAACCACGGTGCCGCGCATAACGCCGAACCAGGGGACCACCCGAACCCCAGTCGCCATTCGCCATTCGCCATTCGGACTTCACGTTACTATGACGTTGCCAGCCAGAAGCAGCAGCAGAAGCCCCTGTTTGCTCCCCCAGATCCGCCGAGGCACTTGTTGCTTGGCCAGATTTGTAATGATGTCGCAGGAGGGGCATCAGGGTGGTTCAACAATGACTTGAAGCGGTATAAAGAGATGTGACGTCCCTCGCATCATCTCACTCCCATCACTTCTCATCCAACATACCCATATACATCTCACACAATGGCTCCTACACAGAACAAGTCCCTTATCTACAAGGCGGTCCCCGAGACCTTCCCCGAGGCGGGCAAGCACCTCACCGTTGAGGACCGCCCCATCGACCTCGACACCGCCGAGCTCAACGGCGGCGTCCTCGTCAAGGTCCTCTACACCTCCTTCGACCCCTACCTCCGCGGCCGCATGAGGGACCCCAAGATCAAGTCCTACAGCCCGCCCCTCACCCCCGGCGAGCCCCTCCAGTCCGCCATCGCCGGCAAGGTCGTCCGCTCCGACACCCCCGAGTTCCAGCCCGGTGATACCGTCGCCGCTTTCTACGGCAACAACGCCGAGTACACCATCATCCCCGGCGCGTACATCCCCCACGTCGGTCTCCGCAAGGTCGACAACACCAACGGCCTGCCCCTCTCCTACTACGTCGGCTACCTCGGCATGCCCGGTACCACCGCCGTCGAGGGCCTGTACGAGATTGGCGTCCCCAAGAAGGACGAGACCATCTTCATCTCCTCCGCTGCCGGCGCTGTCGGCCAGCTGGTCGGTCAGCTCGCCAAGGCCGAGGGCCTCACCGTCATCGGCTCCGTCGGCTCCAAGGAGAAGGCCGAGTACGTCAAGTCGCTCGGCTTCGACGCCGTCTTCAACTACAAGGAGGAGAAGCCCCTCGATGCCCTCCGCCGCCTCGCCCCCAACGGCGTCGATATTTACTGGGACAACGTCGGTGGCGACACCCTCGAGGCCGCCCTCGAGGTCATGAACAACAACGGCCGCATCATCGCCTGCGGCGCCATCAGTGGCTACAACTCCAAGCCCAAGGACAGGCACGGAATCAAGAACACCTTCTACATCGTCACCAAGCGCCTGCGCGTCCAGGGATTCATCGTCGACCTGTCCCCTCCCAAGTACAAGGCCGCCCTCGACAGGCTCGTGCCCCTCTTCGTCGCTGGCAAGATCCAGGGCAAGGAGGATGTCTCGGACGGCATCGAGAAGGGACCCGAGGGTCTCGTTGGTATCTTCCAGGGCAAGAACTTTGGCAAGGCCATCCTCAAGATTGCCGACGCGTAAGGCGACGGCAGATGATGTACGATTTATGAGACTGAGCGGCTTGGGCCCGGTCACGGATAGCATAATAGCATAGTCAAATTCGAAGGTTAATGAACGAACTAGGTCGCTGATCAGGAGACATTGGTGTTGAATGTGATGCCGAATTTGTTGGTGTAGTAGGTAGAGAAACACATCATATCGGTTGCTTATGGTGGAGAGTCTCAAGTACCCACCTACGATGAGACTTTCAACGGGCAGCGAGTTCGCGACCCAGTCCCACGGCCACACCCATGGGTTCCAGTCCCATAACATGACAGGGTTCATTCAACGCGACCAGTCAATCTACACAACAGATCGATCGAAAAGTAGGTCAATCAACGTAGCAGGTCAGCAGGTCGAACGACCAGGTCGTTACCGTGATGTACCTGGGTACCTGCCTAAGTATGGAGGTTCGAGACCTCGAAGAACCGAGTGTGCGGTGCCTTGCCGGCATACTGTACCCAGTGCAGTGTCATACGTATGCTGGGCCGCCTGGGTGCCGGCGTAACGTTCGTGGGCTGTTGGTGATGAATGTGCAACCTGGCGCCGGGTAATAAATCCCGCTCTGTTGCGGAGGGGGGAGTGATGTGTCGATGGAACTGGGCCCCTTGTGATGCTGTAGCCCTCCGATGTAAGCTTTCTTCTCCGTGTTATTGATAATATATCTGAGGGCCGGCACGGTCTCCCGAAGACCTTCTAAGGCGTTCTGAGGATTGAGAACATGTGGTTATCTACCTTCCAGGTTTCTTAGAGCAGTATTGCTCACAGTACCTACTCGCCCCGCGGGACGACTGTCGAGCCATCGAGCTCCTTGACCCCCTTCTGAAGCATCAGGTCACAGATGCTCCCATCCAGCCAGGCGATAAGCCCATTATCAACGAGCGAGGCCGTCGCAAGAAGACGGATGACAACCTAGCCACGGTCAACTTCGTGACGCGAAAGGCCAACATCATCTTATTTGACCTGGAGAACGCCCACCTGTGCATGGTGACGGATGACTCCCCCGACCACCTGGAGTACCTGCCTCACCAGTCACGGGTGATTCCCCGGATCACCTTGACGTACCTGCCTTACCTATCTATTAAGCTTGTTCCGTGTGTTACTACGTATCCAGTCCATATTGATATCTTGCCGCAGACAGATGCCATCCGAGACGAACAGAGAACCACACTGAGAGCCGAACTACAGGGTGCCCTTGCTAGCGAGGAGCGCGGTGATCAAGTCCGATAGCATGGCGATGACGATTCCGACGAGGATGTTAACGAGTACTACTAGTAGTATAGCGAAGAGCGCGGTGATCAGCCAATAGTCGCGGTGATACGCTCTGAATGCGTCGCCAAGGGAATAGGGGAGGCACAGCTCCTCCTTGAATCCAGCCAGCGTGTATGACAGCTGAAGGCAGTTGTAGATGTCCGTGACCGTGTTCATCATGGGCGTTGCCGACACCATGTGAATCGCGTTGTACTTCTCCCGGGTGAGGATCCACGACGACGACACGCCTGGCCACAATGTCCGCGTCGATGACGACCGCTACTAGAAGTTCCTCCGGTCGCAATCCGTGGCACAAAGCCGACCCCAGCGATCCTTCTCGCCTTCAGCTTCACATTTGCCTTCCTCAATGCGAAACTGCTCTCTGGTCGAACTTCACTGCCGTCGAGAATATCAATGCTGTTGACGATACGGGCCACTCACCGCGACGGCATCATGAAGAGTCAAACTCTCGTCGATTACCGCATCTACTTGCTTCAATGG